ATTAGGAAAAATCAGAAAAAAATCAAAATAAGAGGAAGATCCAGATGAGAAGCAAGAACTAGGGTTTTGGTTGGAAATGAGAAAGGGTCGGAGCTCACCGAAGCCGATCTTGAGATGACCGTCGGCGCCGCAAGAGGAAACGAAGCTAGGGTTTTGAAAGGGGTGATGGAGGGAGGAGAGAGAAGAAAAACCCTTTTCACCTTCGAATTTTCGGTTGGGTGGGGGATGAGAGAGAAGCAGAAAGCGAGAGAATGGGCTGGTCACGAGACTGAGACGAAAAATTTTTGGGGCCCCAAATTTAGGGGGCCCTGTGCGGTCGAGCAGGCTGCACGCCCTCAGAGCCGGGCCTGCCTAGCGTTATGACGCCGGCTTTAATCAAGGTTTGGATGCTATTCTTTAAAGTAAAGCAAGCCTTGGTGGGATGAAGGATCCTCCTGTGGTACGCGCAGTACTTCGGATCCGTAGTATTGTCAGCTTCCTCCTGATTCGTGATGGGTGGCATCTTGATCTTGTTGTTTTCAAGAAGGGTCTCGAAGATGGCTGGAACGTCTTCGTCCTTGAATGAGTACTCTTTTTGGAGCCTCGAATCCGAAGTCTTCTGCTGTCTTCGGAGCTGTTGTTGTGACGTTTGATTAACGTCAATAACTGTTGTGGGGGCCTTCCTTCATCATGCAGACACGAGACTAGCGAATTCAAGAGGGTTAACGCATCGGTTTGGTTTCTTTCGAGCTTCCTGCCTTCTGAAGGAAGGCGGGGTTCGGCCTATATTCTCCGTGCACCTTCAACATGCTCTCCAGGTATTGAGCGCGGCTCTACTCACATAACATCCAAAGATTTATATGCGACAAATTATTATGACAGGTCTGGCATAGACGAACTCCTCCGTAAGCGGGAGTCCTTAGCCAGTTTATTGGCCTTGAATGCGGAAGCGTTTGATGAAGGTGATCCACCGACTCTCCGTCTTTTGTTTCTCACGAAGTAGTGTTTTGAATCGACACTTCTGTGTCTCAGTCGAAGAAATGAGCGAGAACATGCTCTCCAGGTCCTCCGCAGCTGTTGATGCTTCCTGGGCTTGAGGCTGGGGTACCAATCGAAGGCGCGAACGCCGCGAAAGGGTGCCAAACAATATACCGGGAACCATTAGAGGGCTCTGTTGGCCAGAGATCACTCCCCAAAATGGGACTTGAAATAGATCCAAGGTGGGCTGAGTGGGAAGCCTTTCCCGTCTCGAACGGCATGAAGTTGATCAGGTTGATTTCGCCGGGATATGGGATCGAATCCCATCTTTCGGGTAAGGACACGGAATGGCCGGTACTTCTCAGCTCTCGACAGACATCAGGGCTCGTCAATTTTTCGTTTGCCGAGTCCTCATCTTTTCTGGCCGTCATCTATATCTTGTTTTGCGACAATTTTCGAGAGGAATAATACGGGCCACCCCAGTTGTTATCATCATTGGTGGGTCCACCCCCAGGCGTCGTTATTTTTAGTGGGCCACCCGCAGTATTTTTGGCGGTTGCGTCGGCCATTGATGATTTGTCGCACTCCGCGATCGCTCCGACCCGAACTGCGGGCGTTCTGGGTGCGACGGCTGGATTCAACTAACGGCTGATTTGACAAACAGCTCGGATTTGTTGTCGTGCATTTGTCTCATCTCCTGCATAGCCATTTCCTTTCGATTTTTGAATGCTTCTTTCTGCTTGGCTAGAGCATCCTCAATGATTTTGGCTATTGCTCGAGCGGTGTTGACCATGAACACTTCTCGAGCTTGCTTATGCTAGACGTTGTATCGTCGGAGGCGAGTGCGCGAATAGAATCTGAGAGTTCGTCATCCGAATGGATTCCTTCATGGATCCCATGTAATCGTTATATCCACGGCTTCTAGCTGAAGCTGAGCTATTCCCGAATTGACTCTCGCTTCCTGGAGAGAAATTAGGGTCGAACCACTTGAAACAATTGACGAGATTTTCCCTTGTTGACCATGTTGATAGTCACTTCTAGGGGTTCATCATCTCAAGCAATTGATCCTCTTTGGTGGGAACGCCTTGACTTGGGCTTTGTCGGTCCATCTGAGATTCCCTCGAATATCGAGACCCTCTGTGGAGCGGTCTTGGGGCAGCTACACGTTGATAATACTACCGTGATAATTTTGATACACGGACAGTGAGAGTCCGTTTTTCGGGTACTTCTCTTTCGAGATTTATTCGTACCCCCAGCCTGATAGTACAACTCATCGACGTTGCGGTCGGAGTAACCTATCGGCTGTTTACATAGATTCTCAGGTATAACTCGTTCGTCTGTCTGACGTGTTTTCCTCTGAGTAAACATTGCCTTGTTGGCGTCTGCAAGAGTCGCACGTTTGGAATTACACCTTTGTGAGGGTGAAACCTTAACGGGCTCCTGATTTTTTGCACGCACCGCCAAGCGGGCCGTTGCAGAAATCCATTTGTTAGGAGGTCGCGTACGACCCCCAGTCTGGATGTTGGCTCGAAGCTCCTTCAACGATCTCCAGCTTTCCTTAACAAGTGCTTTTCCTCGATTCTCGGGTAGGGCACCGATACGATCCTTCAGAGGAATCCTAAACTTGGGGAAATCCACGCTGCGGTAGGGCTTTAACGGAGGTTCGGGATCTGAAGTTGACGAAGGCCGGAGAGCAACGTCGCCTGCTTTTGCCTTAGGCGCTGATTTGGCTTTTGGCACCCAAACTTGTTTGGATCTCGGCGATCTCTTAACTGCCTCTTCCTTTTGCATTTCTTGTGCTTTTCGCACAAGGGTCCGGGCATCCGCAAGCAAGGTGCGACGCTTCTGGATTCGCTCCTCGAGAGTAGAGCGGGTTCTTTGGACACGAACCCATTCGTTAATTGGAGATCGAGAGGAGGATTCCGATGCTGGTCGTGGCGACAGATTAGCCACTTGGCGCTTTCTGAGCTCCAGATCTGCTTGGTAATGGAGACCATCCATCTGATCCAAAGCCTTGGCGAATTGGCGCGCGAGGCGTTGTCGTTTCCTTTGACGTGCTCTCTTTGATAGAGTTGGCGCGCCTTCAGCAGTCGACTCCTTAATCGTGAAGGAGTTCAGATCTGCAAATTTGGCTTCATTGAGCGCCGGTGGATCATTGCAAGGTGCAACAACAACAGCGGCGGAGAGATCGTCTTCTTGGATCTTCAGATCTGAAGGCCAGTAGATCTTTCTAGAGGAGGAGGCACTCCTGCACTCGCCAGGAGAGGCGGATCTGGAGGAGGAGGCACTCCTGCGCTTGCCAGGAGAGGCGGATCTGGAGGAGGAGGAGGAGGAGACGTACTCCTCGAACTTTTGCTGGTCGAATTCATATTCGACCTCTTCGAGCACCGAGATCTTGATCGTCGGTTGCGGCACGACCAGCTTCGGGCTGCGAAGCTTGTGGCTCCCGACTGTGGTCGGCCAGTGTTGTTTGCGGTGAAAGTTGTTGTTTTCATTGCTATCGAATCTATTACAACTTTAGTCGTTACAATACACTCGAATGAAATAAAAAGTCGATCTTTTTATAAGATCTCCTTACACAATGAAAATAAAAAAAGTTTACAACTTTATCAAACAAACGCAGAGATCGTTTATCGGTCTTCTGCTTGCGTGAGTGTCTTTGCCTGTGCCGGGGTTTATCCGTGGACCACCGTCGATCAGATCTGATTGCTGAAAAATTGGGCAGAGCTTCGTCTATCCGCGAAGGGATCGAGAAAACTGTAGCGCCTATCTCGATAAAAGCGAGATATTTGCTCTTCTTAGTATTACCACAACGGGATAATACTAAGGATTGGGTGCGGGTGATGTAGATCTGATGAAGAACTCCCTTGCGTTGAAGAACTAGATCCGATCTCTCCTCCTCCTCTCTTGAAATCTGTGCACTTTAAGTCTTCAATCTAGCAGGGCTTCGCCGAGGCACGAGAATTCCAGATCTGAAAAAATGAGGCCTAATGCTTGTATTTATAGGCATGAGGGATAACGGAGCGGTTAAAACGGACTACAGAGCCCAAAAATCCGAGACACCCTTGGGGTGTCTTAGAAAATCCAAGACACCCCTGGGGTGTCTCGCATTGACCGAGACGCTCCGTTGAGGTGCATTCGTCTGCTTCCGCTGTAAATTTTTCGTCCGAATTCGGATTTTAGTGATTCGAAGTGCGTTGGAAGTCTGACGAAGAGTTCTATCAGCTCCAATGGTTGGATTATCTGTAGAATGAACGAGACACGAAGGGCGTTGTTCTTTTTTGTAACATCGCGGGGCTCTCGATTAGCCCGTGCCTTCTTTATCCCGAAATTCTGTCAGCTCACGTAGTTCGTCGGTTTACTTCAATCGTTCACCGTCGTCAAACGAACTCCTGTGAACCAGATAGTGATGTTCATTATCGTTCTTTAACACTGAGCTGTTCGTAGAGATCTATAGGCAATTTTCGATGCCTACAGTACTTTTTGAGATTTTCACCTTTTCCATTTCCATTTCTTGGTTTTTCTTGGTTTTTAGGAAATAACCAAACAGACCCTAAAAAAAAGGAGGAAAAAATCTTGAGCATATAGTTGAAATATGGGTGTAAATAACAAAATACGGAGTGCTGATCCGGTAGCAGTCAGACCGGACCACGTTCAGGTGAGATTTGGAGTCGCTTCATCGGTCTCGTTACCTTCCCGCGGCAAACATCGGATCCTTCGGTCGCGGGAAACAGCGACGCCAGCTCAGCGTTCCCGCCAAAATCATGTTCCGCCATAAGAACCGTTTCCCTGACTTCTCTTGACTTTTATCCCCCCCATTCATCCCCCCGCCGCCCTGATCCTCTCCTCTTACATTCTCTCCATAACCAAATACCAAAAAATTGGTGGAAAAGCTAGGTAAAAAAAAAAAAAATGGAATCTAGATCCAAATCCAAGAGCAAGAGGACTAACGATGGCAAACCCTCAATCCCTCTCGCGTCTCCGATCAAATCAAATCCCTCGACTTCAGCCCCCCATCAGACCCC